GGCCCGCCCGTCCCCACTGACTCCAGGGTTTTTAACTGAGGCTCCCGAACCATGATGAGGCACCACATCCTTTGTAACTGTAGCTGGTAATTAAATTCTACTGTGGGGGGTGGGGTGACCAAATGAATCGTTATTGCTTTAAATTGTATCTGCTTCCTAGTTTAATTTGGGGTTGGGTTCTCTTTTTTTTTTTTTTTTTTCCCTTTTTTTTTTTTTTTTTGTTTTGTTTTGGGAAGCACTACCTAAATGTCTGTGAAGTGATTGACATTCTAGCTGGCCTTGTTTGAAGGATATTAAAATCCTAGTCGGAAGTTTAGCCCGCTTACCAGGCTTGTTTTTACTAATAACATGATGTACTAAATTAGAATCATTCTGGAGTTGAAAGTAGATATGATGTATTATAAATTGTAATGCTCACATGGAAAGCTAATAAAAATCCTGAATATCTGATTTGCCTGCTTTTGATTTCAAAATTTAGGTAATGCAGAACAAGAAAACTTATGTTAAGAAGGGGACGAGCTGCATGGTGTGGGTATACAGGTATCAGTACTCAAAGGAAAGTGCCTTCTAGGTCTGATCACCTACTTTGTTCAGGTAAATGGGGAAATTTTGTGAGTGCAGGCTGCATTTGTGCAGAGGGCTGGCAGCCATGCAGTGCCAGCTGTTGTGAGTTGCCAAGTAACTCTTACCAAAGAGTAAGAACTAATGCATAAAATCTTGGGCTCCTTAACTATGCAAGCTGAACAATGGAGGGAGAAGAATCAGTTTTGACTTGAAAGATTGAGCCCAATAACTAGGCTAGAGAAAAAAAAAACTCCCAGAAAGGAACAACTGACCACAGCTGCTTCGCCACCCAGAGAAGCTTGGGAGTGCAATTCCGGTGACTTGCTTAGAGCCAAGAAAAAACAGATCAAGAGCTGTAACAAATTCAATAGGCCATATAACAGGAAAGGGCAAACCATTCTAGTTAATATTTTCCATCTTATGGATTCTAGGAACATATAAAACTAGGAGTAGGGAATAAAACAAAAAGAACTGGGGCAAGCTTCTTGAATTCTCATAAACTAAGAAATAAAAGGAATGGAAGTATTTCTGAATTTAAGCACCCTTAATATTGTGCTTGCATCAGATGCAGGTATGTCTAGTAAGGATTGCCATGTCCTTAGTGCTGTTTAGTATCTTGTCAGACCTAACATATCAGGTGTTCATCAAAAAGTTCAGCACCTGCCCCTTCCAAAAGAAACTGCTTCTGGAACAGCAGTTACCACAGCAGCTATTTTTTTGTTTTGATGTACAACACTAAGAAAAACATTTGGTTGATTAAAAAATATTTTATTAGTAGTAGTACAGTGTACCTGCAATGTACTTTAAAGGCATTTTCTATAAATGATTATTTCTACTATATATATCTTAGTGTTCCTGTCCATATTTTAATACATTAATAGTGTAATGAATAACACCTTTTTTTAAAAAAGAAAAACCTACATCTCTTTATTTAGTTCATAAATGTTCAAGCAATACAACAAGTAGCTTTGGAAGAGATTTTAATCAAAATAAAAAGCATTTTCAAACATTCATTTGACACTATTTTTTCCTTTTCCCCCCAAACAACAAGCCACATTTTTGTTTGTTTGTTTCATAAAAACAAATTGTGCTATTATTATTAGCTTAGTTTTAAGTACAGAGGACTCTTCTACATTTTGTAGAGCTTTCCAAATCCTCCCCCACTATATATATATATATAAATATATATATATACACACACATTTGGCATTTAAAGTATTAAGGCTAAGCCTCTGAAAACAGTACCCTTTAATGAAAAGTTGTGGCAGTGGAGGCCAGTTGCATTTTTTTTTCCACGTACATATATGCCTTCTTGTTTTAATTGCAGAAAAACAGACAAGCCAACCAAAACCCTGCCAGGCTAAGCGGGCAGAATGTTCCTAGCTTCTTAGCAATAGGCTGCTCCTCCTGTTCTGCCAGAGTTGAAGCTTGCATTTGAAAACAAACACAAATGCAATAACTTGATTGTTTAAAGGTGCACATACAATAAACCTGCCTGCGCTATGGGCAGAAGAATGAACTATTTGTACGTCTAAGGAGAAAGCTCTTCATGTTACTGGTTGTGGGATATTAAATGATTAAGGGACTTCTATAATTTATGACTGGGAACAGCTAGCTTACAGCACTTTACATTATAACAAAAAACAGTGAATATTTAAAACTAACACACATCATTGCATTCCATGATCAACTTTGCCATAACTGTGCCTTAAACAATTATTACAACACTGTGATAAATAATATACACACCGTATCTTTTAAAATACCATATAGACCATACCTCAAGAATAGGGAGCCAGCTACCCTATACATTATCCTACACCATGTCCTTAACCTGTTTGTTTTAACCTAAAAAAACAAATTTGTAAAACTGGATAACTACAGTAAGCAGCCTATGCTATTAAACAATTAATGCAGTATTGTCATTAGATTTGTATAAACCATTACACATTAGCAAAATTCTTTAAATGACAGGCATACCATAAACATCTTCACCTTTGAGCTCGCTTTGGGCAGTCGGAAGGGGGGGATAGTGATGGACCTCTTTCTTTGCCAAGTTCCCATCAGCTCTACCATTTCCCGGGTATTGATGTGCCACACTCGTACCAGAGAACATAGTTAATGTGAGTCTCGCCACCTATTTTTCCAAATTTGACAGGTTCTTGGCGAACTGCCCTGAAGAAGCCTAGAACACAGAAGAAAGTTTTGTTTGCATGAACCCTTAAGGACCCTCCTTTCACTTCTGCGACTTGTGTGCAATTCAATTCAAGGATAAACTAGTCACTGAGTCATCTGCTATAAATGAGTTTGCTGCCCCGTTAAGCTAGGAATATGCTATGATCATCACTGTAAAACAACTGGAATTTTTCCACCAAATCCTAACATGAAAAAGGGGAAGTACTTGGGATTACCACAGACTGCAGACCAGGACAGAGGGGGATGGCCTGGCTGGGTTCTTTTCTTCTATCAGTAGGAATCAGTGATAGCCTCCATTCCAGTGCAGTGTTCGGATTAAACAATATGAGTGAGTGCAGTAACCTTCCAACAAAGCTTGCTAGTTGGGGATATTTCGCACAATCTCCCCATCCTCGTATTAAATACTGCTTTAAATCTGTCATTCTGTAGGACAGTACTTCCACTTCAAACAATGTTTGAAGAGAGCAGGTGTCCAACCTGATCTTTGTGTTCCAGATGAAGCACATGCATAGTTAATTCTAGTTTGAACACACCTCAGCCACTTGCTACAGCTAGGGAGAAACTAAAGCAGCACTGAGCCCTTACTTGGTCACTTCCTTTCCCTGCTCAGGCCATTTGCTAGAAATACATTTTTTTAATGTACGTTGAGATTACAGTTGTTCATGAATAGTCAGTTAAACCCACTCGGCAAAATCAAATTTGTTTTGTAATGTTTGTAAGCTTACAGGGTGGATGTCTTTTTTTAGATAAAAAGCTTTTGGGTATTCAGATGTTACAAAGTGAATCTGAAATAGCCGAATTGTCTGCTGCTGTGGCAATGCCAAATTGGATTTGGACATTCCTCTCTGCAAACAAGGTATGCTTGCAAATGGGCAACACTAACTGGCAAAGGGAAAGTAAAGCCCTCTTGGGAAAAACCACCACATTGTGACCACTGGGCAGCTCATTGACTTATTTTGCATTCTGAAAAACTGGTAAAATATTTAGGCACTTGATTATAATCTCTTACCTACACTATTTTCACACAAACTCCCACCACGCATTTCTTTCTTTCGTTTTATAAAAGAAAAGGGGTGGTTATTACCTAACTGAACTTGAATTATAGCCTTCTCTTAACGTGCCCTTGCTCATCTTCAAAACCGTCTCAACTCTTGGCTCTGCCTGTAAGCTCAATAGTCTCACTCCATTGCTGTGCCTGGCAAAGCACCCTGAATTCACCGTCAGGTGACCCACTAGGGGAGCAAAGGAATCACAATGGTTCACCACAGAGACAAGAATTACCATCTTTGACTGGCAGATCGTCTTGCTGTCCTGTCCTTCCATCTAAGAAAGAGTCTACAAATTGGCAGTGATCTTCTCCATGGCCCCTCTGGTCTCCGATATTATAAAATTGTCCTGAAAGAAAAGAAAAAGCAAAGAAGTTGAAAATACGTATGAAACTGAGATCCCTTTTGTCTCAGCAGCCACAGCTGTGATTCAAACATTATGGCCATACCTCCCAAGCACAGCGCTCACAGAGGACAACTGCTGCAATCTTCTGCTGGCCAAAATCTAATGCCTTAACTTTTTTTTTTTTTTTCCCCCCTCCTCTCCTTGTATTTCAGACACTAAAAGTGAAATCCTGTTCTGATTAGAACCTCATTCTGATCATAACAAAAAAGGAATAAGGTTTGCTGGTGATTTTTTTACTGAAATGCTTTTGATCCCCAGGTTTGAGCTCCTGTCAGGAAGTCCAGAGTGTCTTCAAAGTTGGGTTTATATACCATCTCATAGTGTGGACAAAGCCTGCTTTATACAGCACCATCTTTTCACAACGTGGGCAAGTGATATCCTTTAGCTAATAAATACCCCACCGAGGTAGAGTAGCTGCCTGTCCAGAGATTAGTATAGAATAGAATCATAGAATCATTATGGTTTGAAAAGACCTTCAAGATCATCGAGTCCCACTGTAAACCCATCCTCACCATGCTTGCTAAACCATGTCCCGAAGTGCCTCCTCTACACGTTTCTAGAACACTGCCAGGGATGGGGACTTCACTGCTTTCCTGGGCAGCCTGTTCCAGTGCTTCGCCACTCTTTTTGTGTAGAAATTCTTCCTAATGTCTAACCTGAACCTCCCCTGGTGCAAAGTGAGGCCATTCCCTCTTGTCCTATTGGTAATTATTAAGAGTGAGTTTGGCACTAACCTCACTACAACCTCCTTTCAGGTAGATGTAGAGAGTAATAAGATCTCCCCTGAGCTTCCTCTTCTCCATACTAAATAATCCCAGGGCCATCAGCTGCTCCTCGTAAGGTCTGTGCCCCAGCTCCAGTGTGCCCATGTTTATTTACAGGATTGCTAACAGGACACTTGACTGCAACTAAGTGGAAGGAAGGGTCATAGAATCATAGAATGCTTAAGGTTGGAAAGGACCTTTAGAAATCACCTAGCCCAACCCCCCTGCACACGCAGGGTCACCTAGAGCACGTGGCACAGGACTGCGTCCAAGCGGGTTTTGAAGATCTCCAGAGAAGGAGACTCCACAACCTCTCTGGGCAGCCTGTTCCAGTGCTCTGTCACCCTCACTGTCAATTTTTTTCCTTAAGTGCCTATGGAAATTTTGATGCTTCAGTTTCTGGCCGTTTCCTCTTGTCCTGTCTCTGGCCACCACTGAAAAGAGGCTGCCCCCATTCTCCTCACTCCCTCCTTTAAACTATTTATAGACACTGCTCAGGTCCCCTCTCAGCCTTCTCTTCTCCAGGCTGAACAGGCCCAGCTCCCTCAGCCTCTCCTCGTAGGGCAGGTGCAGGCCCCTGCTGATCATCCTTGTGGCCCTGCGCTGGACTCTCTCCAGCAGCTCCACATCCCTCTTGTACGGTGGAGCCCAGAACTGGACACAGTACGCCAGATGCGGCCTCACCAGGGCTGAGTAGAGGGGCAGGAGCACCTCCCTCGACCTGCTGGAGATGCTCTTCTTAATGCA